GGTGCACACCGAGGTGGTCACGCATCCCTTCTTCATGGTGTTGCTGGAGCTGGCGGCCCTGGAGTCAGGGCACGATCAGCGAGGCGTCCTGCGGATTCTGTGCGACGTCGTGCATTGCCACTGGATCATCGACATGATGATGAGGACGAAGATGAGGAACTCCATCTTCTCTTGCCTCCTCACTCCTGTGCTGGCTTACAGAGTCGAGGCATTTGGATAGCACGCGACGATCTCATGCTCAAACAAGGTTTGAACTGCTGTGAGCTTAATCTGTATTCTGTGAGCATGCAACAGATGGTGATGAAAAGGTTCTGTAATCATCAAACGTTCCGAGTTCTCTTGTATCTGATCTAGTTTCTGAATCTCTCTGCACAAGACATCTATCTACCTGAATCATTCGTATATACCGCGTCTTTGTTTAGCCCCTTTTAGTTGTGGAGACACAAAACAGGAGAGAATTGTAGGAATTTATAGAGACGGAAAAGGTTTTACATCCGACAATTCAAATAAACACGTTCTTATCCTACAGATTGGCAGTCGCAGCAGCATTCAACTCGTTCACAGCAGCAGGAATTCAAGGCCCGCGAGGGAATTTTCTTATGCAACGCTGAAGGAACTCGCTGCGCTTTCCACGAACTTCCTGGCACCCTTGAACCATCTCTTGTCACCAGCTTGCGCCTTGCAGATGTAAAGCTTACCACCGGAGACAGTCGCTGTTATGAGCTGATGCTTCCCGCCCTCGTCTCCGTCGGCCGTCCTCGTCAGAACCGAGATGAAGTAGTATTTCTTCCCGTCGATCACTGGTGTGGAGGTCTCCAAGATGTTTGCGGTTGCCACAGCATCAGAGTCGAATCCACCCTATTGAATTCAACGCATCATGTTGTGATTACACAGGAGTTAAGTAGTTCGGGTGGTGGTCATCTTAATTTACCTCGGAATCTGTTTTGCCGGAGTAAGCCTGTTTTCCCAGCAAATAATCCACCTGAAAATTGAAGCATAGTAGCAGTCAACTCTGTGTATCCGATTTGGTATTGGACTGTCTCAGAGCATTAAGAATACCGCAGTAATTCTAATGATTTCCAAGGTTAGAGGTGAGTGATTACCTGCGACAGGAATTCCTCAGGGCTGCCGTAGTCGGTGATGGAGCTCTTGGAGGTCGGGGTAACCATGACGGCGACGTTGCTGGTGGTGTCGAAGTTGTCCTCGTACCTCAGCACTTGACCAGGGTACTCCACCTCCTTGCTGGGGTTCCACTTGGAGGGGATGGACAGCTTGAACCCATCGCCCTTATATGGCAGGAAATCCGTGTTGGTCTTCGGCTTCCCGAACACGTTAGCTGCACCAGTGCGACGGCTATCACAAGTAATGGAAGGCAGCAGAAGGCTTCTCTGGCATTTCCAAGCTATATAAAGCATCTATGTTGTTTGCGATTCGGAAAGATTACCAGCTTCGCCATAGGCGGCATCAGCAGGCGAGACCTTGGAACCAATTGCTGCGGCACCGATGAGCACGGTCAGCGCCAGGCGGCGCGAGACGACAGCGCCGTTCTCGTCGTCGGCGGAAACGGCCTGCTTCTGCTGGGCCCTGCAGGCAAGCTGGTTAGCCTTGACGCTCGGCACGAGGCGCGGCCGCGAGGTCCGTGAGGCGGCGGCCGAGGGAGCAGGGTGGTGGAGGAAGCACGCAGTCGAGGCCATCTCTCTCTGACTCTCTTTCACTCACCACTCTTCCTCGCGAGATGCTGCTTCTCTTGTTGCCTTGGAGGGGGCGGTGATTGGCTTCTATTGGATTTGTGGCGAGTGGAGGAGAACGATTCATGAGCCAAGGAATTGCGGATAGATCTTTGGATTGGATTAGGTATCAGAACCTCTGATTGGTCCAGCTGGAACCTCACGTATACTCAATCTCCGACCTGTCTTCCTTTGGTGTCATGCGCTTAAGAACTCGATTACTCCTAATTTGAATTAAGGCCCTTAAATTACTTTAAATCACAAAGCAGCAGTCAAATTTCCCGACTCCATTTCCTTTAATTCACCAACTCGATAGCTTTCAGACAACAGAATTTTAGGATACATTTCTGAGGAACTAATCCCAAGAGTACATATATATGGCTGTGAGTGGTAGGTAAGACGAGGGACTAATCCTGGCTCAGCACGCTCTTGTGGAGAGTGAAGGTAGAGAATGCATTCATGAGGAGGAGTAGGAGAGCCCCAGCGAAGGACGCCATGAGTGCCAACCCTCCACGGATGCAGAAGGCTTCAAACCTGTCGCATATCGGGTTCCACCTCGCATGTACGTTGCCATTCTTTCCCAACTCCGCCATAGATGCTGCAGCAGCTGCACCAGTCGCCACTAGAGCAAATATTACCTGCGCAACCACACAACATATTACCGATCAGAGGAATCCTTTGTCGCAAAGTACAGAGTCGTGGATTTGATGCACAAGAAACGTAGGCTGCTAGAAGACTTTTAGCTGTTGTTTACCTCATCCAAAAGGTGCACCAAAATGTCATGAGGCTTTGCTTTTAAGAATGGTCGCAGGAGGAGCACCAGTAGGTTGTATAAGCTTGCAATAGCATTGGCAATGACAAAATACCTGCAGAAAGCATTTAGAAATAGCTGCACGTAAGATAAGAGGGTAGAGTTGATTGCGAGAAGCTTACACGAACGCAGGGGTTTGCTGGAACGCAGCAGTGAAGGTCTGGAGGATGGGAGAAGTGCCCACTACGGCAACTGCCATCCTTGTGCTCTGCTTGTTCAGTGCCATGACCACAGTAGCGGTAGCTGTGGCCAGAACGGCTGCCAACCTTAGTGACAGAAGCAGCTTAGATTTAGGCTGTGACTGTCTGCTCTCGGCCTCCGCCTGTTTCCCATTCTCCGTTGCCATGGCTGGAGAGACAGAGACTTGATGGATTGCATGACAGCAAGGGAACGGATGCTATATAGATGAAATGCCTCCACCGAGTCAAACAAGTTAACAGTAATCAACACTCTTAAAACACTGCGCTACTGCATCATTTCTTATGGGTTTCAAACATCCCAAAACTTGGTTAGTCATCTAATTAATGTAAAACTGTCATATTTTCTTGCCAAACCCATGTCTCAGAAGTCAGTGCACAGTTTCAAACAAGTTTGAGTTACATTGTGCATCATTCCTTGGAAGGCATCGTTTTCTTGTAAGCCTCAAAAACTTGCTGGCACTGAACTCGCCAACCTTCGAGGAAAGCTTATGACAAAAGGAGTGTTGGAGATGAGATAGCTCTGTAAATAATAACATGATTTTGTCTGGCCAACACAACAAGAGGGGTGGTGGCGCAGTTGGCTAGCGCGTAGGTCTCATAGCTTATTCGAGTTATCCTGAGGTCGAGAGTTCGAGCCTCTCTCACCCCAACCAAAAGTGTTTTTTATTCTTAATAAAATATCATTTTATTTTTAGGGCTTTCCTGCTTATTATTTAATTTTATATAATAATATAACAAGTTTTTTATTTTGGTGTTTGTTTGAGCAGTAATATATTGAAATAATATATTACCACTCTAACTCAAGATGCTGATGCATTAAATACCGTGGTGAAGAAAAGAACATGTTCCCTCTCCTATTTATTTTGGATTGACTGGATGACAGTTAATGTCGACATCGACAGTGATTATGTGCCCTGTTCGATCACTGTCACGGTTGCAAAATTATCCTCAAGCAAGCATGTTGACAAACAACAGCAAAAAGAAAAAGAAAAAAAAAGCATTGGAAACACATGACAATCAAGAGAGTAAATTTGGACAATGAACAATATGAACCTGATCCACATGAATGCAATGACATGTTGCTTGTTCGATGTCATGTGTATATCATACAGCTCACCACAAATTTACAGTCCATTGCAGCCACTTTGTGAATGTCAAAGACAACAAACTTTAACGTTTTTGTGACCATTATTTATGGAGAACAAATCATTCAAACTATTAATGAGTCCAGCACACTTGGCCAATATAGCTTTTTACAATAATAAATGCCATTCAAGCTGATATCTGAGACCAGCACAAATCACTTCTTCCCGGTAGTGACTCCGACCACAACATTACTCACCTGCACCGTGTCAAGTTTTATAGCACACTAAGTTTTAAGAGGGAGATCATAATTAGAAATCCACAAAAACAAAAAAGCATTGAGCATTACCAGTTTACCACTTTGATTTACTGACATAGGATTCTCGACAACTACTGTCATGTTTTGGGCTTCAGAGGGAGGCTGTAATGACAAGAAGAAAAGTCAACATATGAAACTCAATGGATTCGATGAAAACCATGTTATCTAACCAAATGAGACATGGGGGGCTGAACATACAGCAGATGTTGATGGTCTCATGGGTATAGTCTCATTAGGCCTCTGTGCCTCTGGAATCGGTACTCTCATAGTCTGCATTGAATAGCAAAGAAAAGACAAACTAAAATGATTACAGATTGTAAAATCAATTCATAGAATAAAAAAAAGAATATCGAGAACGAAAATAAACAAATATACATCATTCTGGCATACCCCAGCATTTGTCACAAAATGGCATATTGCGCATTTGACTGATGGTGCCCCACAAGGATAGATCAAAGTTGTATGGCACTGGCCACAGTTTAGGTAAGCATTCTGATTTGCTGCAATATGAGTAGTATATTACTTTGATATTATAGGCAAGTTTCATCTAAATGTTTAGTTCCATAAATTACATAGTGTCCAGCAATTTCATAAACTTTTATATGCATTACTGTGGTCCACAACATTTATTATGATAACTTCTTTCTACAGGAAATTCATTAGAATTTTTATACTCACAAGATTATAGAAGTAACAAAATTTTCTTCATAAAAAAGTTATATTGTTACCGTAAGGATTATCATAGATCACTAATATTAAAATCACACAACATTGTCGATGCCAGATAGCTCATCAGGTCAAAATGTTGTTTCAATAGAGAATATACAAAAGCCTACTTGCTGAACAACCAAAATATGAACAATGGAAGCAACTGCCGGAAATTGTTTTCCTACATTTGTCTTTTCTTTTGAAGTTTGCTATTACTTTATGAAGCTTGGGCTATACTTACACTAAGAAAATAAGTGAAAATTTCAATTCCCAGGTGACAGGACTCACATGAAGGTTGGTAGTAGATTAGGAAAAGGTTTATCTAAAGAAAAAAATATATAAAGAATAAGCATATAAATTATGAGTAAATTTTCAACCAAAGAAAATCTCTAGATGATAACAAAGATATGTAATAACCAGTTTAAGTCAGCCAAAATTTTCTTTGAATTTAAACTATCAGGTTACGTGATAGTGCAGCAACCACTATATATAACTAATGCAATCTAGATCCTACTCCCAAAGGGGAAATAAGATGATAGATACAACAAACCATGCGTTCCAATAATTTGTGGTTGCCTACACAGATATATTCCCTCCATTGAGCTTTCTTAAACCCAACAACACTGGTCAAGATTGGACAAATTTCACAAAAATAATCTAACAAAATAAAAGGCGCATACCTTTAGTTCCAACACATCTTGTAATAAGGCCTGATCTATGGCCATAATAACCATATATTCTAATTTAGGTCTCAGAGGTGCACAAATGTTGTCTAGAAGAGAAAAGCAAAAAGTATGTTAAGACAAGCTGGGGAAGGAGAGGGCGACAGAGACGAGTAACTAGCGGCTATGGAGAAAGGTGGGGAAGGAGAGGGCGACGGAGGAAGCTGCAGATGAAGGTGGCAGCGACAGTGACGAGGGAGGACACCTCTGACAAAGGCGGCAGAGGAAGATACGGACGAAGGTAACAGCTACAGATGAAGGCAAACAAAGTTGTAAACAAAGGCAATGGTGACAGAGGAAGCTATGGACGAAGATGGCAGTGGCAAAGGAAGCGAACAAAGGCGGTGGTGACCGAAGAAGTTGCAGACGAAGATGACGATCGTATGGTTTCACTTTAAAGACAAGTTAGGGCTAGGTAGGGCACGGGAGGGGGTTGGGTTGTGTTAGGGCAATGGAGTTGGTTTGATTGAACCAACTTGCTTGTTCAATCGAACCAGGCATGAACCCAACCCATTCTTCACTCGAGCGCTCGCCCAAGGCGCCGAACGCCTGGGCTCAGGCGAGCGCTTGGGTGACGCTTCATCGAAACACCTCGCTTGGAGGTTGTATGAAGCGTTTAGCCCTCATCTCGCTCGAACGCCTTTTAAAAACACTAGATAAGCCTAAATAGTTTTCATGATCATCCAACACCTTAAAGTGGAGGAAATATTTGATTCAACAACCCATACATACCAAAGGAGCAAATACTTCAATTTTCACTTGCCCACCCAAACTAAGAAGTCAGAGTCATGATCGAGAAAATAAAAAGAGAGATACCAGGACATGTGTGTCTAACCACTTTGAGAAACTCAAAGGTCACCGGAGAGATCTAATTTAATGTTTTGATGGAAAGAAATAGAAAACAAATTGTAGTCTAACTCGAGGAATAAGATTCTCTTTTCTTAAGTGAAAAAGTAAAAAGTAAACTATAATTGTCCATAAATGTTGAAGCCACTTTTGATGTTAACATTGTTTTTTTTTTTTTCTTCTGTTCTACCTTTTACATGCTAAAATTTTTGCTACCACTTCTCAAAACTAGCTCTTAATTGCCATTTCTAGGCATCGAGTAGGTTTGCTTATAATGAATATTATCTAATTTGGTTAAAGTAAATGCAATTTGGAGATTAAGGAGAGAATAAAATTTCACAATAATAGGAATAATCTTGATTTGTATTGGAAAAATAGTGCAAGAATGCCATGAGTAGATAGTTTGAAGAGAAAAAATAAGGTCTCTAATTTTTTATCCCACAACTTATGTAGTCAAGTTACAACACGACTTAGAAAATCATATGTTTTCTCATGGTTCCACTAGAAAGAAAAACTCTCTAGGGCTTGCATATGTATGTAACTCCATCATATAACTAACACTTTATAAGAACTCTACTTTCAGAGAACAAGTTCAGTGAATTTTCAAACTGTACAAAATGGTAAAAAGACTACTGTTTTCTTTCTTTTCGATATTCAATTCATGAGGGCTTCCTTTTCTATTTGATGCTTCCGAGAAGTAGTTCACATGTGTGAATACACTTCAACTACAAAACCAATGTGTTTAGTTGCTTTAAATAGCTAATTCATCTTACATCAATCAGAGTCAGATGATCTGAAAGGTAAACTTAACGCGTAGGATCTGAAGGATTCATAAGAAACTTGAAGCAAGCACCATGCATGTGTATGATATGAACCAAAGGACCCTAAGGTCAAAATGATGATTTATACTCATATAAGAACAACTAATACTAGTTGTAGAAATAGTATCTTGGGTTCTTAAAAAGTTGTTGCAAGCACTCAAAATCATTGTATGTTCTTCACTGATTTTATATTGCAGATAACATGTGCCCAGAGATCAAAATAAATAAAACATACCTGGTCTTGCCATATTGATTGTGCCACAGCAAGAGCATCTTACATTAGTTGCACCACTAGTATACATCAACAATGTTCGGCAACCATAACAAATTATCTGTGCCATTTCCATTTGCTGAGCCATGTCAATCCCTGCAAATGTTGACTCAGAATTCCATATACAAACTAATTAAGTAGATTTTTTCCACCCAAGCCATGCAGAATAAGAAAAAAATCTAACCACAAGTAACCAAATGGTCCAAATATTTGTATGAGCAAAGGGAGACAGTAATGATCATGCTCAAAGGTAGCAGTCAATGATTCATCTATTTTCAGAAGAAGAAGCATAGCAACCTAGCCCATTATGAAACAAATAGATTTTCATATTCTGATTTCTTGCACACATACCATCTTGGGACTGGGACCAAAAAGCCTTTCCCCCTCCTTCCTTGAAGCTTCCTTTGAAAAGGATTTTTAGTATATTCATTTGTGAGAAGAAATATCAGTTACATTCTCATAAAGATGCAGCTGTCATGAAGAACAGGCATATTTTATCTTCCAAAGTTCGACCTCTAGATGTCACCCTTTACTACTTAAATTTATTCAATTTCACCATCAAGTCTAGAATTTACCTCTAACTCATGATTTCACAATTATCAGACAAAAAGTCAACTGAATTGATAATGAAACAAAATAACATGAACCTACATCTGAGACACAGTTGATGCCAAATGTCTAAAACCAGTCAGCTCGACATCTTCGTAACACAACATATTATAACTCTGGTTGGAGATACTAAGGTAATGCATTTAAAAATGCAAGTCAATGAACACTTGCCACTGAAATGCGTAATTTTTTAATAGAAAGCTTTTAGGTTTAGAAGTTATATTTGTGCAGAACATATCAAAGACCACAGTGATCGATATTTCATAAACAAGCCCATAATATGCATTCCTCTTAAGATTTGATCCAATACTGCAATCAAAAGAGGTAGAAGAGAACCTGCAGGGAGAGTTGGCGTCATAGTGTTGCATATTGCACAACGTACATTAGTGGCTCCTCGGGGGTAAAGAAGAATGGTCCGGCATCCATTGCACACTAGCTGGCTCTGCATGCCTGCATTTTCAACATTTCAAAAAGATAAACAGGTGATCCGATGCAGCTTTTTAAATCTCAAATTTATGTAACTACACCAAGAAGACTGCTAACACCATGAACACAGATAGTTCTCAAAGAAGTAATACAAGTGTCATCTGTTACTATCTAAAGGGCAAACCGGCTCCTGCCAATGCAGAGTATGATCAATGTACACATAAAGGTTGTTTCTGTGGCTCGAACCATGGTCTCCCAGGTTTGCTACTATCTATTTAACTAAAAGAAATACTTTCAGACCCTGGAGAAGTGATTTTTCTCCCACTTCAAACATAAAAGTTGTTCTTCTATATGTAATCACTAAATTGAGAGTGCATTAGCTACGGACTATTGGAATTCATTTTATATATTTATCTGCTCAATTTAATCAAGGTTATCATTCATGATAATAGAAAACACTAATGTAATCCAAAAGCTGAAACTCGCAATACATATATATGTATCATGTCTCTCTTTAAACTCTTAATCATGTGTGTGTGTGTGTTTGGTGGCATCTCCCCATTTCATGCATAGTTTAATTGCTTCCCTCCTGTGAAGGTTAATCTGGAAGGATTAGTCTTCTCTTTTGATTTGTTCAAATCTTCTTTGCCTATAAGGGAGCTTATTCATCTGAGTTTATCTGTGTTTGTGTAGCTCACCTTAACTCAACTAAACCACAACTTGACTAGCCCTTAGGTTACCTAGCATATCTGGCTCATTTGGGCAACTTGACTTCTTTTTTTTTTTTCGACACACCTGGCTTACTTGAATTTGCTTCATCAGGCTATGGACCATGTTTAGAAGATGATAGACCTAAGAATTTAGTAATTCATAAAAAAGAGAGCTAATAGAAAAAGCACCAAACTAAAATTTTTGTTATCATGACCATATCTCTGTAGACTGTGCACGTTAACCAACATATAAAGACTCAGAACCAAGTAACCTAATTCTGCCTGAACTCCAACTCCTAGACATTGTATAATAAATCTGAAACACCTAATAAAAGTTTAATTCAATATTTCAACATTCTCCCTAAAATTAGATGGAACAAATAATATTGTGGAAAGATGACAAATGCAATGCCATCTTATTTTATGAAGTTATCGCATGCAGCATTCTTTATAAATTTTACAAATTTTCTCATGCTATCCATAGTAGTTATCAATGTGCTTTATCAATCTTTCATGTACCAATAAGTTGTGAAATTTTATTTTGTCTCAAACCAAATCACGTTCAGAAAAACATATTGAAAGTATGATTTATAATATTTCTTGAGTTTCTGGATCCTCCTTATCGAGAACTGACGACAAAAACTCTAGATATGTAAAGTTAAGATGAAATCTTTCTTAGATACAACAATAACAAAACCGTAAGTCGCAACTATTTCAGGTTGGCTACTTGGATCTGCCATAGAGATATGTAAAAGGCCATATGTTTAGTTAAGTTCAGAGTATTTATCTTTATTTATAGTTTCTATTAAAGCCTTTTTATGTCTTTCTCTACCTCTCCTCGTACCACCAATATTAGTCATTTCACATCTTTTGACTATAGCATCCAGAGGTCTCCTAAGCACATACTCATACCATCTTAAACGATTTTCTCTCGTCTTATCATCTATTAAAGTGATATCTAGCTATTGACAAAATCTTCTCAGATGAAGGCCTAAAATATCTAGCTTACAAGAGACGTGCTAGATGATGCTTTCACAAGAAAAAGATACAAGAGCATTACAATTCATTTATCAAAAAATAGTCGATGAAAAAATTCGTCCATGTATTTCTGTTAAAGATAACAAAAGAATCTTGCCTAAACTAAAAAATATATTTATAAAATAAATTATTCTTCCCAGTTCCCACACAAATAGATGAACTAGAAGAAGAATGTGATCAATTGCAAGATCAAGAACTAGCAATATTTTTTTATTGAGATTGATTATACTAAGAACACAAGTTAGCAAGATATGGAATTATGTACTAAATCATAAGAATCTAAAGAATATAGTCTGAGTTGCAACATAATCAAGATAGAAGTCATATTTAATCAAGAGTTTTTTTAGAAGAAAACAAAGTTTAAAACTAAATTGTTGACAATAGACTTTCTTGAAATAGACAATGTAATATTCATGGAAAGTATGAAAGTAATTTTACCTCCTAATACAAAAAAATTGCAAAATCATGCAAACTGTTGATTGCTGCAGATTTCAGTGTAGTTGTAACCAAAGCTAATGTAAAAAAGCAAAACTATTGGAGATATAAACAAGTCATGAAGCAGGATTAACTTTTTGATGATGCTTTGATAATCAAGTAAAGATTTTTCACATACGAGTATTACATTCGGATTAATTTTGTGATCTCAAATACGGACAAGAAATTTAGAGTATGGTTCAAGAAAAATCAGTTACAATTGAGTGAAACATGCAAGACAGACCAAGTACATATATGGTTCTTATGGAAAGCATGACAGAGTGTTTAAAGCTTTTGGAGAAACCTTCATGTGGTGACTACAAAGGATTCAAATCTTGACCATATAGAAACGTACAAACTGGTATCCACAGGATCGACCAAGTACCAATACTGAAACATATAGCTTGATACCAGTAAAATACCATTCATTTATACTATCTTATTATTTTATTTCATGATATCGAGCATCATATACTGGTTTTACCATCTGGTGTACCGATATCATAACTGGTATCCACAGGATCGACCAAGTACCAATACTGAAACATATAGCTTGATACCAGTAAAATACCATTCATTTATACTATCTTATTATTTTATTTCATGATATCGAGCATCATATACTGGTTTTACCATCTGGTGTACCGATATCATACTAGCCTGAGAAATTACTAAATCAGTTATTAGAACAAACCACACAAAAGAAATGACATTGGGTTTCTCAGCATACCACGATTTAATTTTTTTAAAGTTAGATCTGGGAAGGATGCTAGAAAATTAAATTAAATTTTGATTAGGAGTTCAAAAGCAGTTAGGCTTGGTCTTCCCATAAGAGCAGTTTGTCTAGAATTCCTAATGAAATTGTTAGGTCAGAGCATGGTATTTACATGGCTTGTGATTTTGTAGATTGATTGGGAATATGATGATGAATAAAATTTGATGTATAGCGTCTTATATTTTCCTCTTTTATATATCCTCTTGAATCTTTAGGCCTACCATCTTGCAGGCTTTCTCCCACATACCCTTTTTCCACGGTCAATTCATCCACATATGACGAAGAAAAGTATGCCAAAACTAGAGAGACAATAGGTCCCAAAGCAAACAAACAAAAGAAATTACCACGACAATGATCGAGCGAAATCGAAAGAGAAAAAGACAAACGCACTAAGTAATTAGCTTTCCAACACCGAAGCTGTCAGATTTCTTGCAGAAACAGCACCGAATAAGGGATTACGGAGAGAAGAATATGAACGAACCGGGAGGAGGAGAAGGGCCACCAATCCACTGACGGGATCGAGCAGAGCGAAACAAGAAACCCTTCTAGCCACACAAATTCGGTTCTTTTAAGCCAATCTTCCGCTATGAATCGCTCGATGCAACCCCTCCCCCCCTCTTCTTCCTCACTGCGACGATGACGCCGGGTCGGAGAGGACGACAGCGACGTCTCCGTAATCGCAATGGTAATAGGAGCTGGCGAACGAAGATGACGAGAATTAATGAGATGACTATGTTAATTTCCTTTTACATAAATACCCACAACTTTGCTTAAAACTATATATATATATATATATATATATATATATATATATATATAATGAAAATCTTCAAAGTTATATTGATTTTTATATGAACGATTTTCCTAAAAATTACTCATATTTTAAGTATTTTTTAAATAGTACTCTTATTTTAGTTTTTTCTTAATAATATCTCTAATTCAAAAATTATTCGAATTATTCCTTATTTTTTTTCGTTTATTATTGTATTTCAGTCTATCATATTTTTAGTTTGTTTACAGTATTTTAATCATCATAATAAGAATACTATAATAATCAAAATAGACTCATTACCTCAATTAAACAATATAAACCTAAAAATATGATGCCGTGAAAGTTTATCAACAATGATAATCAAACACAAATAATATAATATCATTTATAATATTTTTAATAGTATTTATAATATTTTAATATCTTAATAAAAATATTATAAATAAAACTAAATAAAAACTCTATAATAGTGTAAAATTGGTGAAAAAAGAAACAAAATTTAGCAACAAATTTTGAGGGATATTGTAAATATTTTTTAAATTGTGATAATGTTTGGGAAAAAGGAAAATGGGGTATCGATTGTAAAATATCTTTTTTGCATTTATTTTGTATTTAAATTTGACATAAAAATCCAAAAAATTTAATGATTTCGAAAGTCTAATTAATACTAATACCCGTTAAAATCTCCAAACGTCCTTCAGAATTTAATGTAATCTTTAAGATATATGTATATGTATATTCAAACTCAAAATGCCGAATGAAAGCAAAAGAAAGAAAAGAAAGAGAAAATTGACATGATGAAAGATAAAAGAAAAAATAATCAAAGGAAAACAAATATATTTTAGGTACCTATCTCATCTATATATTTTAGATATTTAAATTAGTCATGGTTAATAATGGTTAATTGAAATTTACTGGAGACATATATGGAAGTTGTATATGTAGATGCTGCAAAAGTCGTGATAGAACAACGAAAAATCAAATGTCTTTTGAGTTGATTGCCAACTACAAAAGTCAAAAGAAAGCAACAAAGATCAGATGACATCCTCCACCACTTCTCTCAATCTTCTTCAAATATATTCCATTAAGACTTTAGCTTTTCTAAGCCTTCACCTGCTGGATTGCTTTGAATATTGCCGTGCTTTAGTTGATTTTGTATTATATGACATGTTTGATAGATAATTTAAATTGTAAATATAAATTTGATAAGCATGATAAAAGTTCATATGACCGATAAAAATATGATAAAATCATTTGGAAAATCACTTTTGTGACTAAACAAAATTATGATCGTCAACTACAAATGTTTGATAGATAATGTAAATTATAAATATTAATTTCGATTCCAATTTCGGGTTCGGACAATTAGAATTGTTAATTTTTATTTTTAATAAAAATAAAAAAAATATAAAAAATATTTTAAAAAATATATGTATAATTATAATGAGCAAAGATGATATATATATATATATATAATTATAAAATTTTTAATCAAACTAAATAACTCTTTTGAAAAAAAAAAAAAAGATTATAAATTTTTTAATTAACCGTCTTAAGACAGATGCCCTCTTAAGATTCGAACACCGTCGCCGAACCATGGTCAGGGCACTGTCAATCTTTGTAAAGCCACGTCCTAAACCCCAGTAACAACGTTCCAATAGCCTCCGCAACGAAACCCTCGAGCGCGGTCGTCTCCTCGCCGAAGTCCTAAACCCCGGTAACACGTTCCAATTAGCTTCAGCAACGAAACCCTCGAGCGCCGTCGTCCCCTTCGTCCGAGATGACGGACGCCGAGGTATTCTTTCGCTCTCCTTTTCGTTTCAATTACTCCAGGAACCGTCGGGTATCGGCTTCCAGAAGCAGCCGCTATTGGATGCAGACGAAGTCGGGATCTCCTGGGTTAGAAGAGACCGGACGTTCATTAGTTTTGGTCAAACTTCTGGCAGTGATAGTTTGACCGGACCTTCATTATTTCTTTTTCCGCTTCTCTCCCTCTCTTCATTTGATTCAATGCGATTATTAGATTTTCTTGTTACTTAGTTAGACAGAAACGTTAATTAACTCTTTTCTAAAGTTGGCGTTGGTTTGACGCCAATTTCTTTTCCCTTCTTAACAGGCAGCTTCAGGAGTTGTGGATTCAGTATATTTTAGTTTTTATACCTCAGAGGAGGTTCGGAAGATAAGTGTTAAAAAGATCACGAAACCGGATCTCCTTGATGCAAAGAATAGTCCTGTTCCGGATGGATTATATGATCCTGCACTGGGTCCACTTAATGATACTGACTCGTGAGTGTTTATTCTTGTTGATCCAACCTCTCTATGAAAACAGAAAATAAGAAAAAAAAGTAATTGCTGCATAGACATTGCATTTTTTTTTGGTTTTCTGCACAGTTTTCTAATCAACTGCCTAAAACACAATTTCCGTGGAATGATGCTTGAAGTTTCTTACTAAGGTTGTTCTTGCACTTATTCCATTGGAAATACATTTGAGAGTTTTTTTTACCTGAAATTGTTTTAAATTTGTGCTTTTATTTCAAGCTGTGCACTTTATATACTGGTGTGTATTGTTTACATAAGTGCATAAATAGATAAAGTTTTGATTTTCAGATGGTCAATTAGTTGGAAAGACCATTTTTCTGGAAAATGATTTGATAAAAATAATATAGGCCAGTATACTGGTTTTGGTTTCCTTTTATACTGCACTAAGCTGACTAGCTATTAGATCACACACATCAACCATCTGCTGAAACCTTGATTATCTGGCTCTTCTCTTGATATTCCTGTTTTCTTTTTGCACTAGTGTTACTAAATTCTGATGATTCTACCATCGGATTTGTTCCTTTCCTCTCTGATTGCATATGCTATTTTTGCATGTGTTTAGAAATATATGATTTAAAAAAAACCTCTCTGGATTATTATTCTTTTAAATGCACAGATATGTACGTGTGTGTGTGTGTGTGTATGGTTTCCAGCCAAGCCATGTTCCAAGGGTGTTACCTTGCCTATGTGTCGGAAATGGACACTTTCATTTTTTTGTCAATGGTATTGTATATGCTTTTGGAAATGTTGCACCTTTTGGATGTGGATGCCAGAGCAGCACCTAATGGGGTTGTGTTTCAGTAAGTATAGAGGAACTTTAGCTGAGAATCTGACTATTTTCTTGATGATGAGGACCAAAGAGTAGTGGTTATTGGAATTTGCATTGTTGATCTTCTAGTTGTTTAATGTTCCATGAGCTGCTATATTCTGACGCGAGATTGTGGACCTAGTTTTGTTGGTTGGTGCTAGTCTTGCAGTCTGAGGCATGCTTTTGGCTGTGTTTGAGTCGCTTTGCACCAACCTTAACTGGTAGATTCCCATGTTTAAAAATAGATGACTGTCCATTGATCACAAGACGTGCAGGATTGGTAGGTTTTCTCTTCATGTGCTGACTTGGGATTCCCATGTTTAGCTCCCTTCTCTTCACGTGGTGACTTGGGATTGGTAGGTTTTCTTGCCAAAGATGATTTCAGTGACACCTTAAATGTTAGCCTTCTTGCAGGATATAATTTCAGTTTCGTCTTCCCTAAGACACTCCGGCCAGATCCTTATCAAAGAGGAATACAAAGTGTCATGCAACTGCCACCTCCTTGAGACAACTGATCTCCCAGATCAACGGGAATGACAAACAACATAAAATCATAACCAAAATACCCCATTAGATTTTGTTAAGTGTTACTATAAATCATCAGAAGCATTTAATGATTAATGAACATTTTGTGGCTCAGATTACTTGTCATAACCTGACAAATGAATTCTGAGAAGTTGTGTTTATGAATTCACATTTTTCAATAATTTCCCATGGTGTTGAAAATCTGTTTCCATTTGATGCATTTTAATTACTGATTGTAGGTGCAAGTCCTGTGGCCAGCTTTCTGTTTGTTGCCCTGGTCATTGTGGTCACATTGACCTTGCGAGACCACTTTACAACCCATTGTTGTTCAAAACCCTTCAGGGTCTACTTCAAATTACCTGCTTTTTTTGCCATAAATTCAAAATAAACGAAGAAAAGGTAATTCCATATATTTCCCCCCTTTTCATATTATTTTTTCATCAAGTTTATATTTTGTTTCTTTCATGTTCTCATGATTCATTAACCTTTTAAACCATGACCAGGTGAAACGATATGTTGCCCTGTTGGATCTCATAGTGAAGGGTGACATTAATGGGGCTAGAAGTTTGGAAGCCAACTCATGGAGTGAGATATTTTTTCCTGAGGAAGGAACTGCAGAGTCTGTTACACCATCAAATTTTGACAAAGCAAAGCATTTGACATGGACATCACTTCAACAATCCGAGGCTCTTTCTGTTCTATCTAAATTTATGAGGGAAAGACGGAAGAAATGTGATAATTGTGGTAAAAAGAATCCAACAATTCATAGTCCTATATTTGGTTGGCTCAACAAGGTAGACAATTATAACTTATTTTTATTAAATTGTTGAGTTATTAATGGATATCATTTGATCAGTCCAGAATGTTGTTTTGGTCTATGTTTGTTTGGTTTGCATATTCCCTTTAAGTTAAATAGGCGAAGGGAATAATTGAAATAAAAGAAGAAAAAAGGACAAAGGATTGTAAGAAACAAAACAGACATGGAGTGTAAACTTTCTGCAACACAATTTCTGTTTTTAAATTCAAAACCCATTGTGTCCTAAATGAAGAAAAAGATCACTAAACATATATTTCTGCAGAAGGGTTCATTGGTGGAATTCGATAAACAGTTATGATGACTGACATTGATATTTTGCTTATTTCACAAGCCTTTTCTTTTCTATCATCAGTTGGCTGACTCTTCTGCTACCTTTTCTGTTACAATCTATTAACTTTTTTTTACACAAAAGCATTTTCAGACATGTGAGATCATGGATGGAATTCAGAACCAAACCA